GAGGCGGTGCCGGGTGATGACGCATTTCCGGCGCGCGCCCGTGCCGAGCGGGATCTGAAGACCACAAAGGCGGAAACGAGGGCAACTTTCAATAATTATTTTCGTTTTCAAAACAGGTGACGTGGGTCAGAGAAGCCGGTTCAGAATTACTGCTTATTTGCGCGAATTCCCACCGATTAGGCCAAAGCGCGCGCGTTTCAAAGAGTTAAGACAGCACCACCATGCAACGTGTCCCTTTTAAAAGCGCGATTTAAAAAAAAAAAAAAGGCGCGATCCAGACCCCCGTCCAAAAATCTGTTTAAAATTCAGATATTTCACGGTGACTAACAGAAAATATCCTATTTGTAATTTTTTTCCCCAAAACGTGATTCAGAAGTAATGGAATCATTTGGGTGGGGGACATTGCAAAGGGAATTTTCCTTCGCTGTATTCCTATTTTCTGCAAGTTTCTGGCCTTCAAAAATCAGTTCCTCATGGAACTTTCAAACTAGGCACATTTTACCTTCTGAATAAGTGCGTTCTGCCATCGGCTAAATTTAATACAGTTCATAGTATGCGATCTATACCGTAATGCAGATACACACAGAGAGACTGTATGAAACGTAGAGGGAAGGTAGGGGAGGGTGGGGAAGGGGGAGAGATTAACCAAAGGACTTGTATGCAAGCATGTATGCCTAAGCAATGGACACAGACAACAGGGGGGTGAGGGCATGAGTGTGTGTGTGGGGTGTGGGGGGTAATGTGGGCATAAGGACACATATGTAATAATCAATAAAGAAACTTAAAAAAGATAAATGTAGAGATGAATAGAAAGAAACCAAAGTGCTGGGGTTGCAAGGGGTGGCTGCACAGCTCAGAAGGCCGAGGTGGGCTCTCATTTCCTAGTTTTTGGAATTGGTTATTCTTTCAGTTTGTAACATTAGCACAACCCTTTAAAAATAAATTCAACTGTGACTACTATATTAGAAATAGTTGAAGATCATTCCTCAGTATGAGTCTAGAAGCTTTTTCCTGTTGGAATCATTCCCTGCATCCCCCTTAATTAATTTTTTAAGTCAACTTCCAAATAATTAACAGGTAAACAAGGAAACGACTTCATACTGTTTGGAGTGGCCTGGAGCGCTGACTGCTGACACTGTGGAATGCGATAGAGAAAGGTTTTTGCTGCAATGGTGAGGCTGAAGGAAGTGGGAAGGAGGAGACCAACCCTGGGGACGGGGTCCCTGGATGGCCTCCTGGAGCAGAAGAGTGAGCAGTGCCGGCTGGCGAGGGCGGAAGGGACCCAACAGGCAGTGGGGTGGGAATAATGAGGCTCACTAGCTACTTCAAAGAATTCTGGGACTTATTTCCAAAGTTTGCAAAACAAACAAAAAAATGTCAAAAAATGTATGTTTTACAACTTACACATACTTTATTTGCTTGATTGAAAGCCTCCTCACGGTGCACACTGAGTTGTCCTGGGGTCTCTGTGCTGGAGACTCTGCTCAGTTGGTGTGTTTTCTTTCAGGATCGAGATGGGAACTTTCACCTAAAATCTTACTTTTTAATTCCTTCTCTGGAGATTCTTTCTTGGATTCTTAGCTTTGCATAATCATACCTACAATGAAACCAGCATCCTAACGTTACCAAGATAAATCCCCCTTCTCCAACATCACATGATCTTCTATTTAATTCTACTAGTTAGCACAACATGTCTGGGGCAGCCAGCCACATCAGATCCCAATGAACCCTATAACCATACCAAGTCCCATACACAGAGAATGTTTTTATTTTTTAAAATTCCTAGGAGATTCAAGGGTCCCTTTCCAGGGCTCCCAGGTTTAGGCGCAGTGGCTACGGGAAGAGTTTGTCAAAGGATATTTTTTAAAGTAAAAAACTCAGTTATTTCTAACATGAATCTTGCAACTCAGGTGAAATCTTGTCCCACTCTGGTAAATATTCCTGATTTGGTGTGATGGAATTTTTTGAAAAAGAAAAAGACCAAGGAATGCAAAACAAAAGGTAAAATGTAACTTTAGGAAATGGCATTCCTACTTAAATAAACGAAAGAAACTTAATAGCTCCAACCTAATTTTCTAAATGTTTGTGAAAATTCCGATGGGTGAAATGAGGTGAGAAATAACCGTATTATAAATGCTTATAGGGGTCATTTTACAGACGACAGACATAAAACAAAAAGCCTATGGAAGTAAAAAACAAAAAACAAAACCAAAACAATACGCCATTTTATTGATCTGAATAAAGGCTAATTATTCTGAAATCCTAAAATCAGACGCAAGAATCCCACCCTCCCCCTCCTCGGAGGGGGTCAGCAACGGACGGATCAGGACCACGGGGTCCGAGACCCGCGAAAACGACAGGAAACTCCCCAAACGGAACGGCCCCGCGGCACCCAGGGAGGCGGGGGCCCGGAG